CAATCACCTCTCCGTTGTTCCATTCAAGCAGTGGAGTTAGGCAGGGTTGCCCAATCTCACCATTCCTCTTCAACTTTGCCATCAATGACATTCTGGAAACGGCTCTTTTGGATGTAAGTAATGGCGGTGTGTATCTATCGCCTGGAGAAAGGCTTCTCGACCTTGAGTATGCGGATGATATTGTCTTACTGTGCGATAATGCCCAAGCCAAGCAATCCGCACTTAATCAGTTGGCAGTCAGTGTCCGTAGGTATAATATGTGCTTCGCACCTTCGAAGTGCAAAGTACTTCTACAAGACTGGTAGGACTCTAATCCTGTACTCACCCTGAATGGTGAGCAGATAGACGTAGTCGAGAAGTTCGTGTATCTGGGTCGCTGCATAAGTGCTGGTGGGGGTATGAGTGATGAGATCAATGCACGTATAGTGAAAGCCAGAGCGGCTTATGCCAATCTGGGCCACCTTTGGCGCCTTCGTGATGTTAGTCTGGCTGTAAGAGGTCGGATCTACAACGCGTCGGTGAGAGTAGTTTTGCTCTATGCTTGTGAAACCTGGTCTCTCCGAGTTGAGAATGTTAGATGACTCTCTGTGTTCGATCATCACTGTCTCCGAAGGATTGCTGACATTCAGTGGCAACACCATGTCAGTAATACAGAGGTTCGGCATCTTGTATTCGGGCACAGAGATGATAACTCAATTGGTGTCACCATCTTGAAACACCGACTTCGGTGGCTTGGATATGTTCTCCGAACGTCGTCCCAGAGAATTCCACGTCGTGCATTATTTGCCGACTCTGGGACTGGTTGGAAGAAGCGGAGAGATGGTCAGTGCATGACATGGTGTCGTGGCATGAAAGAAAGCTGCGAAGGACTGGCTTCTGTTGGTCCTTCACGACTCCCTGGTTGGGGTCCGAGAGATGGTGCTACACAGTGGCTAGAGACGTTATCAGATATGGCTCAGAATAGAAGTCAGTGGCGATCCTGCTGTAACCTTCTTTTACTTTCTTCATAAAAAGTGGTTGCTTCTTCCTTAACTGAAAGATCTTTTCTGATTGTACGTTTCTGCTTCCCCCATTATTATTATTATTATTACACTACCTTACACTAATCTGTTCGCTATTGTTCTTTTTTTAACGCTCTTTACCTTTTTTCCTTTCTTCACTTATAATTCCCGTTGTTTTGTGTGGCGCATATATATTTGGTGCCCTCTTGTACCAATATTTATGTGTTCAAATAAATAAATAAGAGTGCATCACCTGACTTTCCAAACGAGTTCAATTTTACCAGAACATTAAATCTCCTACTGTTATTTCCTTTACATGTCCAAACATCCTACTTATCACAGAATTCATTTACTGGTTATTTATCCTAATGTGTGCCTGTAGCTTCCAGCATTACAACTCTATATTTAGCTAAATTTCTTCATATAAATGCTTAAGATTTATCTTCCTACATACAAAATGCATAAATCTCATTGCATCTAACTTGATATAGATACTTCGTTTTCAAAATGTAGAACTACAAAACTCGTATGTAAACTATATTCACTCAATGATAATTTAAATACTTATGAACTGTATCCAAGTGATGTGAAACCAATGAAAGGAAACGATTTTATTGTATTCTAAAAATGGCAACACTAAATCATGACCAACTGAATCTGTGCTAACTCGACTAAGTTGCACAAATTGGAAAAACGATACCTTTTCGAATCATTACAATCGGTTTACGCGAATTACTTCTTTAGATTCATATTTTACGCTAAGAAGTCATAAGGAAATAAAAGCAAGTGGCTTGACTATATAAGTCTTTAAGATCCAGGAGTATAAATATTCAATATATTTCTTCCCCAAATATCACATACCAAAATGCTTTGCTTATTTTTTTTTATTTCAGACGTGATAACTATAGAACAATTATATACTGTTGGTAAAATAAACTACTCACTTCAGTGTAGATTAACCCTTTTCATAGGTTGACACGATGCATAATAAACCAGATCTCGCAATTTAATTAAACACAATGAAGATTTTTGCAATTAGCCGCAGTTGTTACCAGATGCCTAGATGATTTATGTCCATCAATTACAAAATCGATCATTGTAATTGAGATATCTGCCACGTGGTGTGTAGAGTTTAGCTAGATATCTTATTTAGCAATAAATCCTGCTTCGGTTTGGGCACCCGGGCAGTATCACAGCCCTCACACATATCGAATGAGATTTGTGTGGCGCATGTGTATTTGGTGCCTCTTTGTACCAATATCTATGTGTTGAAATAAATAATAAATATAGCCATAAATGTGAAGACTATTCATCTGGTCTCCGTGATAGGAAAAATGCAACAAATGTCTGCTGATTCTAGTTGAGACATGGTGAAGACCAATAGGGAAGATAAGAGCAAAATAGACAAATGATAAGCTGAGACCCAGTATAGGTAGACAAACTAGAAATGAACTACTTACCCCCGTTGGGCTAGAGACTGATTCCCAGTCATACTAATTTTCAGACATAAGCACAGATGATCTCGAAGATACCAATCAAACAGGTCAAACAAATAGCTAGAAATTCTAAGTTGATACTGTTCCGGTTTGGTTGTTTGGTTTTTTGACCCACCCCTACAACAGCAAGTACAGTACATCGAGAATATGAACAGTACATGTTTAAACTAACTTGACCTGAACCTCATACTCGAATAATGTGTTTACGATTTGTTTAACATATCCATATAACCCAGAATGTAGGCTTTGATTACTATGACTGATTGCTCCATTCAACGCAACATTCGACCCTGTAAACTCAAAAATACACCTGCAGACAACTTTTCATAGGTTAGCCATGATTTGTTTTTTGTTAATATCAGTTATTGAGGAAAAATAACGTAGAGGATGTTCAAGATCAAAATCCCACCAGTGTGTATCCGAGGCTTAAGGGGATGTAAACAAACCTGTGTGGACCAGATGGAAATATCCTCGATGAAATAAATTAACAGTATAAGTCTGGAATACTGATATAACAGTAGACCTAAAACGCACGTCTGGATTAGCAAACCTATAACAAAGAACAGAATATTTGCCAAACCAGTACGAAATGTTAGGATTACTGTAGTTATCGGGTATTACTATTTATAATAAAAAACACCAAATTCGTATTTTCGCATAGATTAAATCTGAGTATCATTGCAATATGTGTGACAAGGCACAACATACATTGCATCATCCTGTATATGTTAGCCTATCGTCTCGGAAGCTTTTATATCTAATTTATGACAGTCGTACAATACCAGGTCCATTGGACTGAAGTTCGCTAGTTTATCATCACTCTGTAGGCAAAGTTCAAGAGGTTGTCCTAAGTTATTAGACATGATTCATAAAAGAATTCCTCATCGACCTTGATGTAGTTATCTAACTTTCCATAAACAATATTTACTTTCCGAAAGAGCATAAGATCTGCTGATTGGTTTTGGTGGAGCAGTAACTATCAATAACTGCGATTTCGTCCCATTTATTCTGATTATTTTAACTTCCCTTGTTCAATTTCACTGAGACATTTTTAATAACTATTGCATTGATGTCCCTATCCTTATACGCGAATAATCCAAGCAGAACCACGTCACAACAACGTGCCACGAATTGACGTACCGACTGACTTTTTTATTCAGGCAATAACTACGAAAACAAAGCAAACCTAAATATAAAAGACAGTGAAGATAAATAAAAATCCAGGTAAATACCACACCTAAAGATAGTCTACTAGGTAACGGGAGTTAGTTACTACCAAATATTAGTAAATACAAACTAATAACATTTAATCTCCCTAGACACAATCCTGTTTCCTTCGGTGGGTACACTAGTCAGTCAGTCAGCTACAACGTAGGACTAGGCACATATATGCATCGGTCCAACTTGCTATACCTCATTAACACAACAAGATGGACACCGGATTCATAAAAGTAGTTAATTCAGAGGTGGTGATATATAAAGGAAAATTGCATATAAGGATATAGTACAGGAAGAAAGAATTAGTTCGTAGAAAGAAAGATATGAAGCGATTTCAATCTTTTAGTTAAAGGGAAGACAGTGTATACACCTACGCCATTGTGATCGATCCTGATCCATGTCATCAAGAGTCTCCAACCATTGTTTACGATAGTCACGCAGACCCCAAACAAGTAGTCTGCATCTACCAACATAACTCAGATCAGAAGTTAGTGACTTTAAGCACTGATGCCACGTTTTGGTTTGGCATCCCCTAACTTTCTTCCAACCACCTCTAACACCGGTTGGCATTGCACGTCGTGGTAATCGGTGTTCGGGCATACGTAACACGTGGCCCAACCATCTCAGTCGATGAAGATTCACAACCTCATCAACTGATTTACCACCATTCCTTAATACCCTGTCTGTCTAACCTCACTATTACTTACCCGGTGATCCCAGCAGATGCGAGCAATATTTCCAAGGCATCTGTGGTAAAATACTAGTGGGTACACTATGTTGTCCGTGGAACAAACGAACACTGTGTCCCTCCATGTGTTAGTTTACGCGATCATCAAAATGAATTTATTAGTTACTTGCAATGAGCAACAAGCTTCCAGTAACTTAAAGAGCCAAATGTAGGTTAACAACGACGGAAGAGCTTTATCGCGCATTCTTAATGTTAAGCCTTCAGTGGACAGACGGATATAATGAAGATCCGGCGACCACAAAATGAACAGTTATGTGACTTAATAGTTAAGAATTAAATCTGAGAAGACAGCTACAAAGAAAATGAACGATAGGATTTAATGTCTGAGCCACCAATAGCTTAGTTTATAAACACCAAGTAGACCATTTACAAACACGCGAGTTGCAGTTACTACCTACAAGTACACGTATTTTAATAGAAACAAGTCATTGAGAATCTGTGAGAACATAACACCAGCAAGCACATGCGAGAACTTATAAAATATTTATGGCTAGACAATAGTAAGATCATAATTAGTCGGTCAAATGCAACGTAGAACCTGGAACGTGTTTATTTACGTTCAAATTGTCATGCCCCATTGGCACAGTGAAACGAAATCGTTAAATCAAATCCTAGAGTAGTAAAGGTAGTAACATTAATGGTATTAGCAAAGATTCGACACAGAATACAATGTTTGAAGTAATATACATTGGTGAAAATGTCAAGCGAGATTTACAAAACAGTGAGAGCTACAATACAAAGTACGGGTGCTGAATACTACTTCTTGAGATGGCATGGAACAAATTCAAAATACACGGGATCATGTTTAAGAAATCTTACATTTATTGTGATGCACAGTAAGTAGAAAAATAGTCTGTTGAGTTTTCTTTAGTTATCCTAATCGGCATCATCTTCAATTTTCGGTGCTAAATAATACCGGATATAACCTAGGTCTTCAATTTCAAACTCCACAACTATGAGATAAGTTAAGTTAAATGTGAAATTACCTGCAGGGACGTTCTCAGTCAGAGATAATACAACTTGGCTAGAGAGTGGAGCGGCTTTAGTGAATATGTTGAAATAGTGCAAGGAATAAGTCATGCAAACAGGCTCGTGCATTTCTATTGAAACAGACTCCTCCGGCTTGTCAGCGTTAGCGGACTGACAAAGCTTGACATTTCCAGTACCTAAATCACCGTTTGAGCTGAACGAAACACCATCTTTAGCAACCGATATTACGACGGAATCTCCTATTTGGCTTAGGTCTCGACATATCCTTTGTAACTGTGCAGAAGGCATTCGTATGATGCACTTATAATCAGTATCCTGGGGAAAATATTGTTTGAGCAAAACAACTTACGGGAATACCCAGGTGGTCAACATCTAAATCCATTAATTTGATCTCAAATTCCGATGACCGATCTTGGGCTTAAAACATTAAATGACAGTGAGAAACTTACATTTCGACTCAAAAACAAATGTCAGTGTATCCGCTTTATCTCCAGCCTTAAGAGTAATTGCATCGTTCCCACTGGCACATCGTAGAATTTTAGACGCACTGGGACTAATGTGTATTATGTATACAAATACCTTGTGATGTTCAGGCCTAATGAAAGATTCCTATCACATCTGTATGTCTCAAAGCCATCACTCCGCAGAAGCAAAGACACCAAGCTCACATGAGCATTATCCATAGCTTGTAAACTGATACCATTTTCTGTACAATCAAGAGTTGCTTCTTGTACGAGGTCTTTTATTGCATCAATGACCTTCTTCCATACATCAGCCTGCGTAAGCCGAGCCTCGAACATCACGATATCTTTGAAATTTGTATTGCCACCAGTGACCTTTGTCTCCTCTGGAACGTTAGGACGATATAAACAAAGATAAGCAAACTTTCTATACGTGATGTAAAATCTATTGGAACTTGCCTGCAAACAAGCTCAGTTAGGTAGTAACCGGTTATCATAGTTTCAAGACTGGACAAGAGTGAAGCTTTGTGTATCTGTATCAAATAGTTTATTTCGTTGCAACAATAAAATGTAACAGGATCAATCATTCAGCTTGATTATTCATCCAAAGGCCACTCTCTGAAAGTTAAGAGAATCTGCTAAGTCTGCCGCTGTCGCACGGAAAGATCAACTCAAACACTAGGGTTTTATAGAGGTAAATAAATCTGTAGGGCCAGTGAAATGTCACTGAGCCCTAGTCATCATCCAGCAGTTGGGTCACTGAATATCGAACAGATCGTCGATCCTTGTAAAAGTCATGGATAACCAACACACATCAGCTAGTCGTATGCCGTAGACTAGTCCATGCAGTGGTGGTCTCACTAGCTACTCTGTAATTCCTCTTTGAGTTCTCTGAGTTGTACGGACTTCAAAGCAGCCATAGTACTTTGATACGTTGAAGGGGTAGTCCAAATTAGATGCTGATCGCGAGGTAGACTTTGAGGTAAGCTGGTTTGTCACACCTTTCCCGTCTAACTCGCGTGGGCCCCAACCTTTCAGCATAGATCATGCAAATTGGTGATCTACAAGTCACCAAAATAATTGGTTCTGAAAGTCTTTGACATAGCTTCTGACCTCATTAGTTTTATTTGACAAACCGTAGCTGAAAGCAACCCGTCACGTATCAGCACAAAAAACAAGTAGGTACGCAGCGCTAGGCATCCTTTGCAACTAGTAGCCAGCTTAGACCAAACGCTCGACGTAACTTGATACATCAAACAATAAACTGTGAATCTAAATAATTATGGTCCGTTTCGTCATTAGTACAGCTCTAACAATAGACCTAATCCTAAAATTGTAGAGTTGCCTGATCCATAAGATCTAATGTGGAAGTCACATCACTGCCTACACTGATTCGTCGTATCGTAACAATCACCAAAATATGATCGACAACACACTTAGGCTGGTCTTCTCTCCACGGTAAATGTTGAATATCTATTTTTCCAGTTATTTCATGTTCAGTTTTGAGGATTGTGTGCTTAGCACTCAATGCCACTACAAATCCGTTCCTCGTTGGAACACAAGATATTAAGTTTTGATTTTTATCTTAACATACTGTGATATTCTTTTCAAGTTTCCGGATATTTTTTCGCCTATTTGAATATCATATATTGATCATGACGGAACAGACACTTAAGCTATCTTGGATTAAGACTCTTCGGCCTCTCACACATCAACTCGTGCCATTCTGAATCAACAATATCGAAGCCTGATTCTGCTACACAAAAGCTAACATCCACAAGCACAGTATGACAGACCCGCTTGCACAATTCCTAGCAGTAGTGAAGGCAACACAGCCTGAAATTCCAAGAAATGACATTACACAATTCTGTCATACTTTCACTCGTAATCCTAGTATTTGTCATAGCCACAAACGTTCACAAACTGTGCTAGGTAATCCATCATAGAAAAGGTCTGTCTCTAAGCCACGAGAGACAGGTAATTCTGACTAGTATTTATACCACTGAAATCATTCTAAGTCTTTTGGAACCTGCATGAGCCCCTTGGGTTTTTCAATTTCCAAACTGTCAGTCACGAGAAACCTCCCGAGAAACTTCCTCGTCGGCACGCGTTAGCGATAACCGTAGCATGAAGACACAGCTGTCCAACATCGCTAAATACGGTAATATGTTTGTCTTAATGTGAGTTTACGCAAACTCTTTCACTAAGTTTCCGCGTTTCCTGATATTTCTTTTTGGTCATTGGTGTAGATCCGATCCCGCACCACAATCTTCTCATCGACCTGGACGAACGGAGGTTAGTAGAACCTCATTTTCATGTTGTAGGTTTTCGGAATGCTGGTGTAATTCGGTATAGGCACATTTATCTCTATTACTATGATAAGAAACCTGGTCTTTAAACTGTAGACTGATCATGATGTGACTTCCTAATCTATAAGACCTTACGCGGAAGTTACATCATTGCCTACACTAAGTCGTCTTATTATGACAATCGGAATATGGATTCTATCACCTCTGAATAAAATAATAATTGAGTACGGAAGGGTATGAGTTACACAGAATGATTGCACCTCCAAGTCTGAGCCATGCCGTATCAAATAACTGCTCCCGCGTTCGCCAATCCTAGCCTCTAAGTGTTAAGTTTCAAATGTAAATCTTCTCTGCAATTATATGCTCGGCTTCATAGATCGTGCGGTTGGGAACCAATACCACTACAGATCATCCCCTGTCACTGTTAACCACATAAACGACCCATGCTATCAACGGATGCTCGACAGGTGCACTGAACTTTACCAAATGCGGCCGAAGTTAATGTGTGTAACCGACAAATGTCAAAAACCACATCACGACTACAAGACCACTTGTATTTTCGAAATCTTGACGACCAGCTCCCGAAAAGCTAAGGTCCGCCGAAAACGAATTATGGTGAATGATGAACTTGGATATTATCCGGTAAGTGAAAAAGCCCATTGGCATCTTCACTGTATATAATTCCTAGAAACGACAGCAATGACTGTTGTTCGTATCAGGCTCTCTATGTTTGAGGGCAAGTCAATCAGTCGGCGGTATTGAGGTTGTGCTCGTACGCTGACCACTCAGACTCATGTTTCCAAATTTTATGCTGGATTAGGTATTCTACTCAGAGAACCTAAACATGCTATCTCGGACTTTTACATTATGACTATGTGACAGACTACGGATGAAGAAAAGTCAGACAATTAAAGGCATAGTTATTGGTATTCTTAACACATCACTCCCTATATGCACTTTCTGTTCTAATAAACAGCCCCCCATATTCCAACCCTGACTTCCCTTTCTTCATTTGAACTTACTCTACTTTGGTAAATATCACAACTCAGTGTTCTTTATTAATGCGTTCTCTCATTTGGAGCCTCTGATCACATCCTACTCTACCTACAAGAGCTAGAATGAATTTAATCCAATAATTTATCATACCTCTCTCTGTTCCATTACAAAATGTTAAGTACTGTTTATCGTTCATATCCAAGATCCTTGCCGCTCCCCCATCTTATTTTTTGTCAGAATCCTTCTCCGAGACCACATATATGGAACTTCTGACATCTGAAACAAACTCGACGTACGCGCTTCCCCAAATTCATAGTTCACACCAAGCGCTCTACAAGTCTACTTCATTACAACTATAAACCTAAAAAGTTGCATCACATAAGTACTTAGCACAACCAAAATTCTAACACAATTATGTCGAGATTGGACCTGGTGTGCAACATGGATGAGATGCTACTTTGGAGAATATTTTGAAGACTACTCCGTATATCTGAACGAACGAACTGATATTCGCTTTTATAGATCATATTTATTTAACAACCCTGCTTGGGATGCATACTGTGAACCAATAAATGTTGTAATTTGTAGATCATGCCTGTAAAAATGGCGTGTACTTGCCCTTGCAAAAACATATATTATTATTACTATGTCCAACTGGAGATTCTTGGCGACTGGATGCAAAAATCTTTCCTGATGTTTACCGTCTGCCGCACATCGACTACTTGACAGCCACTTTAAAGGGCATAACTGTTTTTTCAAAATCGATCTGTTCAAAGCATGAAACCTAATTCCTATGGTTGCTGACACCTTTTTTTAAAACCACTATCACTACTTTTTTTCGAAATCCTAGTATCTTGGTGCAGCCCTTTTGGTTTACAAAATGCTGCACATAATTTTCGAAGATTCAGCGATTACGCCCTTGGGAGTTTCAACTTAATACAAACTTGGGTAAATAGCCTCTTGATAGCAAATCCGGACGGAAACTCTTATCTCCAGCATGTGGGCCTTGTTTTAAACAACTCCAAAATACTGTAACTCTACAAACACTGAAGAATCTCAAAATGGAACCTAATCCCTAGATTTTCTCGGACACATTATTGATTCCCAAGGTATTCGCCTTCTGAAAAGTAAATTGGCGGCCGCTCTTGACTACCCAGCACCACCATTCACTTGCGTACGTTCAACGGTCCGGCTAGCGTTTATCGGCGGTTCATGCCGAATCGCACGTCTCTCATGATCCCCGCGACAGAACAACTCCATGGAAATGCGAGACTCATCAATATGGACGGCAGTACGAGAAGAGCATTCTCCCCAGTTAGTGAAATTATCACCAGGAAAACTATGCTCGCACACCAGAACATCAATGCCCCCATTAGTATCGCAGTAGGCGCATCTGATTCGAAAAGCTTAGGAGTCTTACAACAATGAATAAACAACACATGGCAACCTTTGGTATTCTTCTCCAGATGGCCGTAAGACACACTTGCAAACGTATCACAGCGTGCGTAGCGCTCTTCTAATTGTGTTACTCGCCATTCGCAACGCTGGGCAAGTTAACACTGGACATACTGAAGCATACAACGACCCCTCAAAACTGTATATGAAGGACCCTTTAAAGTTCCTCGTCTTAAAGCGGAATACAACATGGTTCACCTGACTATGGTAAGTTGAACAGAAGCTAATAAACATAGTGAGCTACCAGAAGAGTGGTTATCACCGACAAACTCGTTGGATTTAGTTTTCCGACTATCCACATCTTAGAGTAATCACAATCCCACTAGGGAGGAGTGAGTTGTATCAACGTCAATTTGTTAGGATTGGTGTCCCCAGTCTGTTAGATGCTTGCATCTCAATAATCACAAAGTCCGAAAATGCAGACACAGAATCGAGGTTCTCCGTAGTCTGTTTAATTTTTTGGATTTTACTAACTAAATAAACGCTTTTGTAATATACCAAATTTCTAAAATTATTTGGTTTGGTGGAATATTCGTGTCTCGTCGTACTTTTAACACGTTTTTTGTTTCAGATTAACTTAGAGCATACCACAACACCAACCGTAGAATGGGACAAGACTGTT